GGCGGCCGGGCAGCGGCTCAGACGCTGCCGCCGGTGGTCGCGGGGACCGCTTGGCTCCGAGGGCAGGCGGTCGTTGCTGTGGGTCGGGTTGCGCTTTGCTTGCTCGATTTGTAAGCGTGTGAATTTCGGGGTTCAGTGACAAGGCTGTGGTTACGCTGCTGTGTCTCCCCGCCCTGCAGTCCTGGTGTACCCATTTGCCTCGCTGGCAGCCTGTGAGCAAGTGTTATCCGTTCAGTTGGACAGAGAACGAAGGCAGCAAAAAACAAGACATCTGTTTAGGAAAGGAAGTGTGTGGCCACCAAAATACCCACTATAGATTCATGATGGGGTTTTTCAGGCAGGCTCAGGGTGCTTTTGAAAATTGCTACTTGTGTTGCACTTGTTCAGCTTGTACAAACCCAGGGTACGCTGGCCCTGAACAGCAGTTATGTAGAAAAGCCAGGAGTTGTTCTAAATGCCAGCAACACACCTTATCCATCCCTCCACCCATCCAGTATCAGGTCTTTGCTCACCAAAGAGTTTCATTACCACCAGCAGCAGCTTGGGTTTTCTCTGGGTGGTTATTTCTATCATTGAGATTGGCCAGCTGGACACCAGGCCCAGCTATACACCTTCATTGTGGTTTGTGCTGTGGTCACTAGTGTCAAGCCCAAACTGATTTCATGAAGCTCTCAAATACTTAAGGTCAGGTGTTTTCTAACAGCGTGTACATGGCTAGACGTTTGATGTCTGTTCCTTTGCAGCTTGGAATAATAGTATAAATCTCTCTCACCTTCTCCCATATGAGCAGAGGTGGCGTTTAACTACAGGAAAGTGGTGATTGGGTAATGGTTTGGATACAATTTCAGAAAAATATGAGTACAAAAGAGTTAGAGGCAGCAAAAGCAGGTATTCTGCCTAATGCCCTCAGCTACCATTAAGAAACATGAAAATCTAATTGTACTGAATGGAAATGTACATCTTCATCGCTGATTATGACACGGAAGAAAATTACTATATGATTGGCATCATAATGGCCAATGTTGAAATGTGATGACACGCCAATATGATGTACATCTCCATTAGGAATGATAAATCAAAGGTTATTCATTTGTGCTTGATTTATGCCTGGGAAATGTTACCAAGGGAAATCTTGATTTAAATCTCCCGTCATAAAAAAAAAGAAAAAAAAAAGGCCACGAGTGCCCTCTTCTGGCAGCAAATGATAACTGTAAGCCCTGCAGTACTTTTCCCTGTTGATTTTTATTTCTGTATATAATTTAAATATTCGGTTTTTCATTATCCCTTTTATCACCACCATGGTCTGTGGTATTTTCAGTGATATCATTCACTGTCCTTTCTTGTATTTTATCCTGTGTTTCAGAAGTATACTGGATACCATTTAATCCAGTGAAATCTCCCTTCTCACAACCAGAAGCCTTAATCTTGCTGGTAATCTTATTCCAGGAATACAGCAGAAAACTGCACAAGGTCTGTGCAATTTATTACTGAGCATGGAGGAAAGGATTCCTATTTTCTAAGTTAGATGAGAGACACAACCTCATGGGTATATTGAACAGGATCTAGACCACATGAGAAAAGAATTATTAATGGGACTGCTCTTAAATTCTTTGCTGAATTTGTTGGCTTATCCTAGGCAGCTACTCTATCGTTGCCTGTATTTAATAGCTACAGAGAGAAGAGTGGAACAGGAGACAAGAGGGAGAAAATGCCTCGACTTCCTGCTTGCTACTGTTCTCTGTGCCCCCAAGCCCTCCACCACCTTGTTTTCCTCGTGGACAACATACCATGCTATCTATCACTCACGACGGTATTGGAGCATCAGCTCTGACCTGTGTTACATACAGGTAAAGCCTCAATTTTTCAGCTGCTTATACCACCCTACCTCGAGTTCTTAAATCTTCCAGCTTTTAAGTTGCAACTTTTCCCACTCTTCCTTGCAGTTAAAATTCTTGCCTAAGGTCTCATTATTTAACAGCTCAGTTGCTGCAACATCCTTTTCTCTGGCCTTGACAGATGCAGGCTTGCCTTTTCCCTAATCATACTGTATGCGGCTGCTGTTGCTTCAAAGATCATTTTCCTAGCCTGTCTCTTTGAACATGTCACTCCTCTCTTGGCATCCCTGCGCTACCTCTCCCCTCCCCTATCTTGCATCAACATAAGCTGCCTATCTTCATTTTCAAGGCCCCCTGGGACCCTACCTATCATCTGTCATTGTCAAGAGTCAGGAACAGGGAACAGAGCAGCTCCAATAACTGCCCTGCCTGAGCAGACTTCCAGCTCTGCCACGCTTGGTCCTTATATGCCTTTTTAGAGCAGGATGTGGGTGAACAGGATTGGTCAGGAGCAAAAAAGGGGGGTCACTGTTAAAGGCAGTCAGGAATGCAGGCAGCTGTGACACTTAAATGCTGTTAAAACCTTAAAATCCTCTTGCGTTCATCTCAAAGCAAGCCTTTTCTCATTTTTTCCTCTGTGGTCTCTCTCGTGCTTGGAAGGTACCTTGCATAAATGCCCTCAGATTTCTGTTGGTAGCTCTCTAGAATCTCCTTAAAGCTCTCCTTTGCCATGACGTCTGCAAAAGCTTTGACAACCCTTAGGCTGCTAGTGAGGTAATACTGCTGTCAGCCACACTGAGCATTCTGATTTCCTTTATTCTCCCTCTGTCTGTTTGTATCCGTCTGTGGTCTCTGTCCTCTGTTTAGTTTGTAATCACTTTGGGACAGGGCTATCATTTTGTTCGATGTTTATACAGTGCTTCAGACAATATTTGTTGTTAGGGTTCCTGTGTGATCTGGTAATACAGACAATAAATAAGAACAGTAACAGCCTGCGGCAGGTGGTCTCTTCTTGCATAGACCTCATTGATTTCAGGCTGTGGACTGAGCAAATTGCATGAATGTGGCTTGGGTCTTGTGTGTAACTGAGCAAAGGGCAGAAACAGAAGAGCAGTGCTGTGTGTTTCATTCTAAATGTTGGCCAAAACACCTTTAATCAAATCCCCATCCCATTTGTTGGGGGTTTTTTTCCCCTTTTTTTCTTTTTTGTCAAACAGTATAGAGCAGATATAGGGGCAACCTTTTAGCTTCATGTCATTTTCTTCTAGAAAAGGGCAGGGGGGAAAGAAGGCAAAAGTTTATGTGCTTTTGTTTCTTTCTGAAAAATACAACAGAAGGGCTATAAACAGCAGGAGGAAGAAAAAACTCAGACATTTGAAGATCTTCAGACTTCACCTTTTGCCCATTGTAGTTGGTAGAAAACTACTTTAAAAGCCTAATCCTCAGCTATTTTTGTAGCCAGTAGTAAACTAAGTCTTTGCCTTAGTTTCCTAATCTGTAAATTGAGCATCTTTTGCTTTAACTAATACAGGAGCTGTAACCCCATGTTTTGTAAGTGCTTTGAAGATTGACAGGGATATGTAATGAATTGTTATTATTTTGTGATAACTTGAGTTCAGGTTTATTAGCAAAATGGGTTTAAAGCTTATTTAATTCTACTGCCTGCTCTGACCAACCTCTGAAAGTGCCCAGTGCTTGCCAGAGAGAAAAGGGGATACAGCTGTATTGCAAAACACTCAAGAAGGATTCTCTGTGGCTCTGAATTGCAGAGTTATTCATAGAGAGCTCTCTTTAGGCTGATGTAACTCATAAAGCGAGCAATCTTTGGGATCACATCAGAATCCAAATTGCGCAAAAGTGAGTTAAAGTACCTTAGCAATACCAGTACAACACAGAACCTCAGCCTGTGTGGTCTATAGTACCAGCCAAGAGCAGACAGAAAGGAATTACTGTGAGTAATAAAGCAGAGTGCGGTCTTACAAATTCTATATCTAAGTATTGGATAAATAGGACAAGTATCAAGTGAGATATAAAGCAACTGTATGAAAACCGCAGAGTTGAAGTTTTCGACAGACATGCTTAGGGTTATAGTAGAGCCTTACATTTTATTGAGTGCCTTATAATCTAAAAGCTCCCAAAACACTTTCAGAATAGTGATTAAGAAAATGAAGACTTTCTATTGTGTTACAGAACACAGTCACTGATAATACTGAAATATAAACATATGATTATCACCTCCGTAAAAGCTAGATATAGTACCACTTGTTGAATTTAGTTTCCCAAAGGGATTCTTTAAATAAATGACAAGAAGAGCCCCAAAAGAAGATTGCAGGAAACAACCGTCAGTGAGCATAAGAGAAGCCAGGATGAGGACAGATAGTGTGATGCAATAGACAGCTGTAACACAAGATACTGGATTGTAAAGTCAGGCTCATCCTCAGTGAGAATGCTTTGCTCATTGGTACTGATCCCCTGCAGAGCCAGCAGTCCAAGGAAGATTTCACCCTGAGAAAGCGAAGCCAAATTATTAAAGACCTTAGAGCAATGCAGCCTCTGTCGACTGCTCTGAACTAAGGCTTACGAGGATCATCAGGTTTATGTTGATTGCCAAAATGTGACCAAAAGTTACATGCCTGAAAGAACACAAACGCATGAGAAAAACAGAAAATAGAGCAAAAAATCTTCCTGTGAGAGCTTAAGTGTAACATTTAGATATAGCCTTGGTGCAAGTATGCGAAACATTCAGCTTCCCCTAAGTCACTCTTTTAAATTCTTTTTCCTGTCATATGCCTCTTTCCTCAGCTTTAAACTGACCCTGATATCTATAATCTGGTTTATTTTCTGACCTGATTATTGTCACTAATGGACAGATTTAGGCAGGACTTGACAATTAAACAGTAATATGGCATTTGTGTTGATGTTACAGGGACCATCCCACGATGACATTCAACTTGGAAAATATGGAATGATATTTATTATGGCTTGAATGGGGTTTTGGAGGGTTTGTTTGGGTTTGGGTTGTTTTGGTTTTTTTTTTTTCAACATTTAGCCCATCTGTTCTAGGAGTAGAAGAAGACACAATAGGTGAAAAGCAAGGCAGTTAATGAGACTGAACAGGCATAAGAAGAGAGCAGTTAGATGGTACGCTATGGGCCAAAGTGAAGGCATTTATTTATTGTCTCAATCAAATGGCAACATAAGCTTTTTCTTTTTCCCTTTGTGTTATTAGTCTTATAACATGGAAAACATTTTCTTTCCCTGTGGAACTCCTCCAAGTCAATCCACCCCCGTAAGGAAACCCAACCTTTAATACTTTGTAATAAATAAAACATCAGGAATAAAGATATACAACAACACATTATGACAAATATTACCAAAAAGCATGCACAGATCTGTTCAATAATGTCTCTTTGGAAAATTCCTCTACTGATGTATCTAGGCACTTAAGAATTTAATATCTGAGCACCTCACAATCGCTAATGGATTTTAGTCTCCTTTCACTCCAAAGGCAGAAAAGTATATTGCCCTTTTACAGATTTAGACATGAATAGTCAGTCACTTGCCCAGGGTCATATGTAAATCTTGGAGTTAGGGTTTCTGTGTCCTGGTCCAGTACCTCAGGCTGTCTTTTTACCCATTAACAGTCCTGTATTGTAACATTTAGGAAAGTGCTGTGTGAGGCATAATGCTCTTTGGCCTTTTTTAATATCCCAGGTTCTTCTAGTTCTGACTAATCATCAGGAACAGTTTGCTATTAGTTTAGCCTTTAAAAAAGCTGCTCTGATATACATTTGCCCTGACCTTAGGAGTTGTACACAGCCCTACAACAATTTGTATATTTGCAACCCACTCCCCAAAGGAAATTGCCCTGGCAGGGTTTGGGACCAAGGTTTGCAATGCATTCAAAAGCACTTTGCTGCATATGGGCTTGGTTGGGAAAATTCTATACAGGCAAAGTGATAAAAAAACAATCAAATGAAAAAACATCCCTCTGGCCAAGATCTAAAGGAGTGGATGGTGTTCAGTCGATTCTACACCCATATTTAAGTTCTCCAGCCCCTACCTAAGGGAGCACTTAAGCACTTTAGCCTTAAATGCATGAGCAATCACATTGCCTCGGGGTGGGGGGTTGGGCAGAATATTCATCTGCTTTGCTGGGTCAGGACCCTGACCCAGCGTCTGTAGATATTTGATTCTTTTGAAAACCAGGCCATTTCTTTAACGGTTTACATGGATTTGGGAGTCTAATTTTAGGCATTTATATTTTAAAAATTCAGGCCTAAATACACTCCCCATAGGAAACGCAGCATCCCTGATATTTGGGTCAGAATGCTCCCATTAGCAATAATTTCTTTAAACCACTGTCCAGCAAAGAAAGAAAGTAACCCAAACAACACCCCAGCAGCACCCTCCCCCTGCAAGCCTTTACTACCCTCAAGGTTATTTTGGGACCCTGGGTACATTTTGAATGGCTGTTGATACAAAATCATCCTCTTTTCCTTTTCATGTCATTTATTTAAAGAGGAATCTTGAAGCGGTTGTTTACTGCAGCAATGCTTAGGAAAGAAAAAGAATAGCGAGTGTATTTTCAAATGCCCTTAGCAGCTTTCTTTTTATTTTGCTCTCCAAGCCCCTGCTATTCAAGTTCTCTTCTCCTCAGAGCACTAACAGCTAAATTGTTCTATGCACCCAGCTCCCATTAGCAAAAGAAGGAGTCATGCACATCATTCCCATGAACCACTTTAACAGCATAGTCCTATATGACAAGATGTGCCTCAAAGAGAGACAATGCTAGATAAATATTAACCACACAGTGTTCTCATTTTAACTTGCATTTAAAATAGCAGTTGGATTTTTAAAATGTACGCTTATATTATTTGGTATCAGTCATCTTTGTTTTACCAGTTTGAGAAATTAGATATGCCAGAGCATAACAAATCTGCATTAGAAGCATGGGGTTTGCTGTTTTCTGTTGGAGAAAAAAGGAGGGGCTGACATTTGGATTTACTGCCATACCTCAATAATCCACAAACCCTAATTTCTCAGCAATGAGTTCACGTCCTTTGCTTTGCATTAATTGCACTGAAATTTCCATCAATTATTCAAACTCGGTAGTCTCAACTCATTTAATATCTCTTGCTCCATGCAGATAATCTGAGGTCTGACTGTGCTTAGATTCATATATGGACAGACATGGCAGAGATTCCCTTGAAATCCTCTTGCCTCCTGAAAAAAGGTTCAGTTTAATATGAATTAAAGTATGCCTCTGACTAATTCTCATTTGGGAAGCATATCAGTTTCATTGGTTACATCAAAATCAAACTCAAAAGTTTAATCAGAAATTTATATACTCTTACATAGGTGCAAACATACTATGTAGTATAAAAGAAACAGAAATATTTTTTGTTGGGTAATGTGGGAGGAGAGAAAAACATGTTTTTACCTAATGTCAGAGAATTAGTTTCTGATTTATATCTCAAAGCACATGAGTTGGTAAACCTTACTATTTCATCTTAGCTAGCATAGCTGTGGATCACTTTACAGAAAACTCATAAAAATTTTAAACCGTTTTCTAGGTCTAGTACACTTTTTCTTCTCTGTTGTCAATGACAGTGAATTCTGGTATCTAGATGTAGATTTTGTATTTTAAAAAAAACCTTCTTTTGGATGAGTTTTGCTTTTTTTATTAAATCAGTGGACCTTTCATTCTTCATGCTTAACATCAGTGATTGACAGTAACATGGTTATTTTTCTGTAGCCATTGATGCCAGTAACTAGAAAAACAAGCAAATAGTCCCAATTTCATAATAAAAGTGTGTATCTTAAATACTTCAATCCACACTCAAAATGACCATGCAACCATGCTCAAGTGCATGGATAGAACTTCAAAAAATAGCAACCTTAAAGGTGGAGTACGCCCTTGATGACTGAAATTCTCCAAGCAGTAGTTACCATTTACTCACATTTTCGGACAATGCAAAAAGATAAAAACTGCTGCTCCCAGAATTGTTACATATTGCCACCATTCATCAAAACGTTGTCTTTGTGGTCAGTGTCTTTTCTTCACCACTTTATATTATTTTCATATTCTTTTATCACCAACTTGGAGTCCACGAGAATGTGCACAGTAACAAACCAGTGAGTTTATGTGCCAAAGGATTGCAGTATGGACAAGAGAAAGATATTGAAGCACCATGCTCCCAGAAGGCTTGTTTAAACCATAACAAAATAATTAAAAATTGCTTGACCATACCTTTTTAATTGGCTCCCTGATAGAAGGGTTAATAGGAATTCTAATACCTGTGTAAAAAAAGACAGATAAAGAAAACAGTGTAATGTAAAATAATTCAGATTGTCTCTGTGTAAATGAGGCAATAAATGCCTGCAACATGAAGCTCAGTCTGACTTCACAGCAGGGCCTGGTGCTTAATTGAAAGTCCTAACTAGACCCATTTATCAAAGAAATCACTCAGAGGGAAATTTAATTATCACAATTAATCTATATTTTTTTAGAAAGTCTCAGCAAAGCACATTGAAAATTTCTTCGGGAAGGATTTTACAATGTTACCACCAAGAAAGTCAAGCACCAAACTTCTCCCCCCTCAGAGGAAAAAAGGCAGGCAGGCACAGGGCATGTTGTGCGAGGAGCTCCTTGTAACGCTGCTTAGGTACAGCCGAGAATAACGAGCACCATCGCAGCAGGAGCCCAAATGGAAATATTTTTTTCCGAAGTCACAAAATTGCTCCCTTTGCAAGCTGGAGAGAACACCTGGCTTTTTGAGACAGCTGCCCCATGACGTGCCTGTAGACTCTGGGCCCTTGCCACAATTTTGCTTGTCTCTGCAGAACTTCTGGCACCCCTCAGCTGCCCCCGTGAGCCTCTGCTCACAGTTAGTGTCAGTGCACACAGAGAAAAGCCCAGAGGCACAATATGGCCTCTACCGAGTAGCTAGCATATGATGCTTTGGTTAAGTAAGGAACCAGTGGCACATCTTGTTTTAAGCACTTGGGTAAAGAGGAGATGGCTTTGGTAGAGTTGCCCGTGCTTGCATCAACGCTGAGCTCACAACAGTGAGCAAAGAGCCAGTCTGAAACCAGGGTATTTCCCCTGAGTAATCGGTGAAATTCAATGCCCAGTTGGCTTTGCCTTAGAAGTTGTACGAGTTGGGAAGGAAGGTAGCTCTGAACTGCATTCCTACACAGCTTCTCACATTTGGCATTTCCCAAGAGGTTTTCAATTGCTTGCTTTTCAAAGACTAGGTAACATTTAACAGTCTAGGTAAATTTTCTTCCTTATTTTGAAAAACAGCCCCTTCTTTTTATGCAGAGCCTTACCTCTATTTCCATGCCTCTAATGTAAGCCTGGGGTGCTGTACAAGGCTACTTGTGGAGCAGGTAACAAGTAGAGTTACATCTATGTGCATTGCATGCCTGTGTGAAGCTGAAAAGAAAGCCCCAAGAAAGTATGTGAGTCTGTACCATGATAAAAATCCCCTTCAGTCAATCAGTCAGCTGACAGCCAATAGATTTTTAGGGCTTCTGGACACTAGCATGCAGCAAGTGAGGGGCAGGGGTCTCCTCCATCACTCTGAGAGCACAGAGCTCCAGCACTTACATTGGAGGCAGGATGCAAAGAACCGTTGTACTCGCACAAGCTTCAATGAAGGGCAGCAGGAGGCAGTTGAAAGGACAGGGAAAATGGGGCCAGAGATTTTCTTTCACTTTGTGTGGCTTGCACAGCCCCACACCTACTCATGTTTCCTCAGGCTTGAAGGGAGTCCATAAGACATACTAAGGGAGCATAATTTTCCCTTCCATTCTTCAGTCAGAGAACATTAGAAATTATGACCTATGTTAATATTTTTGTGCGTACCCTTTTTCCCTCTTCTTCAGTGGGAAAAGTTGCAGCTTGGACTCCCGATGTCACTGAAGATGTTTACTGTCTTTTTTTTCTGTGCTTCCTACATTATTCAGGTTATACTAATCACCAGAGGGGAAGGAAACAACTCCACAGCAGATTGAATTACCGTTTAATTGGGCATCCTGTGAAATAAACATTGTGACTTGGATAAGATTAAAATGTGAGTCACAAGTCTGGTGAGTTTTCAAGTGTTAGGGAATGTGGTGAGGGAATCAGGCAAGAACAGCAAGGAGAGAACAGCTAGGAGCCATGCACAGCAAGCAGAACAGCAACTACTGGACACAGTTACTTGTTTTCACTAGGATCAGACTAAAGCTCCAGTGGACAGAATGGGGTAAAACAACAGTTCTTCATTTAAGAAGAATACATTTTCAAACAAATTTCCATTTATATTCATTTGCTGAACCCATCTGTGAATGCCCTCTGGCAATATACCACTGTGCAGCTCAGCTAAATTCTTAGATATTAAAGGTGAGTACATAAAAGTGCTTCTGAAGAAGGACCTCACCAACAGGTTTGGCATCTTCCATGCACTCTCCAATTATTTTTTGATACTTTGCAATACTTCTGATGAGTGGGTTTGCTGGAAGAAACAAATTGCAGACACAGAAATGAAAATTATATTGTAGGATATTCATTAAAATATTAATCCCAAATGTGTAATCACAGCCATTCACATGATTCTCACTTGATTTACCTGCGTAGACCTGATGCTGCATTTAGGGACAGAGGCCCTCATTCAGCCACCTAAACATCGTGTCAAGTTCCTACTTCACCAGGTTACCTAAATTCAGCTGTCCCTGGACTGCTTTGTCCTTTGCCTCCCTCCTGAGGCAAAGGAGAGGCTGGCTGGTGGGGAAGATTTTGTGATGTAGCCAGCGGCACCTGAGTAGCGCCTGATGGCAGCCATTGCTGGCTGCTCTCCCCCAGCAGTGACTGCACACCAGCCACCTGGGAATGAAAGGCTCCCCGGCCTATTGCAATTCCCGGAGCTCTCTGATCCTCAGGGTATTTATTGTGGATTGGAAATTGCAAAAGTTGTTACTTTGCTATTTACCACCAGGTGGCCTAACTATTCCACCGTTCATGAAGAACCAAGACTCCATTAGACAACAGCAGCTGGAACTTTTTAAGCTTTACATATTTTTCTTCCCAAGCATCCACCTCCACTCCTTCCTCCTCATTCGGTTGATTAAAAGCGATCAGGGCTGCTCTGATTTCTCAACTCAATCCTTTTTACTAAGCAATTGAGAAAGCTTGTGCTTCTAGCAGTCTGGCCCTGGCTTTAGAGATCAAGCTCAGCCATCTCTATTTATCTCTTAGTCCAAATGAACTCTTGCCATAACAACACAGGTACTTTGGACTTTCCCTCATGCTTCAGTAACTGGAGATTGATTCCTTTGTTTGCTGCCTCTGGTATGTCTACGGTAGCTGGTTTTGTGACCACCCAGGAGTTCTGTGCTGGCCACATAAACTGGATTTAGAGCTGCCTTGTGTCCCTGGAGCATTGCAGAGTGGATTCAGTGGGCCGGATGATCTGACTCAGCAAACTGGTTTTGATTTTTAAAACCATAGACAATTTGGGACTTTAACAGTCCCCCCAGCTGATAGTTTTGGGGTAGCTATTTGGGAGCTGGTTGAGCTACCAGGTCCTTGGATTCCGAGAGAAGCTGGCATTATAGCTCACTCCATTAAAAGTGCTACTATTGTGGACTGACCTCCCAGCTTGGACTGAAAAGAGCTAGACTTACCGATCTAAAAATGGGAAGGAAGACACTCTTGGATGTTTATCCCAGACTTTTCTTGATGAGAAGGTTGAGGAAAGCTCTAACTGTCACAGCAGTATGAACTAAGAACAACTACATCATCACCAATGGTATTACATTGACATGAACTACATCGGCACCAATGGTATTACATTGACATGCAGGTATCTGGAGGCCACTGAATGACTTCTTAGGAGAAGGAAGCATGGTTATTTCATGTACTGCAATACTGATGACAGTTTTGTATTTTCTACTATTTATATAATGCCTGAAAGCTTTTGGAAGGTACTTCCAAAAACAATCTCAGGAACTGAAGTGATTAACTAAGATAATTTGGTGAAAACATCCATGATTCATTTGTTTACCCATCTTTGTAATTATGCATTTCAGTTTTGATGTGAGCAGGGACAAGGTACAATGATGGCGGGCAGGAACATTGCATTAGAACCCAGCAACAGAAGCCTCTTCCCAAGATTAGTTCAGATCAGCTCTGAAACTGGTGCCTGACAATCCCAAATCAAAGGTATACAGTTTCTGAATGCCCCCTATCATAACACAATTGCAGCACAAGACATAACTGCATCAGGCAGATTTTCCTAAAGGATGTAGTGATTGAACTTTTAAAAATACCAGTCATTTGGAGAAAATTTCAGGAGTCTTTAAATTACTTTGGTAAATGGATTAGTTATAAATAATAAATACCTGGAAATCAGTAGAGACTTTCAGTTGCATCACAAAAATGTCATGAAGTAATGCTGGATATTTCAGCTACTTTAACCTAGCCTTGGGCACAGAAGAGTCCAATTCTGATCATTTGCAGGATAAGCAATCAAATTCAGGGTAACGAGGCTTTTGCCAAGGTGTTACTCTGGATTTACACCTCTGCAGATAGAATCAGATGCTATCTCCTAGTCTATGCGTCCTCTGAGAATAGAATTAATTTTGAATTCTTGTATCATCTGCTTGCTTGTGCACTTATTTGCTAACTGTCTGAGTGAGCTATTCTGGGTCAGTATGATTTAGGCATCCTTTATTACACAGTTTCCAATTCAGTACATTTTTTAATCAAGACTAAATTGAAGTCAGGTTCCAGGTACATATAAATATAATATATATTTAGTGAATACATTGGAAATCCCCAAGTCTAATTTTGAATGTAACTATAATAGAACAAAAAATATGAAGGCTTCTTGATTTTATAGGGAACTGTTAAAATATTGCCACTTCTTAAAGGCAAGTTAAGACCTATTTTCATATTTTTAAAATCACATTAGCTAAAAGCTTGTTAAGGAATAAATAGTACAGAGGATAATTGAGACTTAGCTGGCTTAAGCATTAATGAATCAAAATCAGATGCCAGATCATTAATTAATTCTACAAATTATAATGTTGCCATTACTGGCAAATACTATGAGAACTAATACCAAGGAGCAAACTGCATAGTTTTCCTTCTTACTACATATCTTTTGCCAAAAATAAAAACACAGTGATTATTTTTGGTTGATTACATACAGCACCTATGTTTTTAAAACTTCTGGATGATCCTTGATTTTCAAAAATATTTAAATTTCTTTAACCTTCTATTTATAGAATTTGCCTCTCATAGACTATTGGGATATTTCTGTCAGTGCTGTAACCCAGGGAAAGTAAAACGTAGTGAAAGTGACAGAAAAGTTAATTCAACCTTTCCAAAGCCTAACAAAAATTCACACCCCTTCAAATCAGCCTCTTTGGCAGAAGACAGAATAATAGATGGGGTTTGCAATGTGGCCTGAAATGCAACCATCTCAGGCTTTGTCAGACCAATGCAGAAAATTAATTAGAGGGGAAGTGAGAGAGGCAAAACGGAAGGTCATCTGGACATTTCTAGCCACTATTTCTCATCCCCCCAAAAGAAGGAAACTTCAATATACTTAGAAGGTGGCAAGCTTTAAAAACTCTTTTATAGAATGGAGAACCAATCTGGGGAATGGGCTGTGACAGAATACCACTGAAGCCAGAGCCTTATGAGGAGTAAAAGACTCAACCGTGATGAGGTGATATAACGTAAGACGATATAATGAGGTGATATAGCATTGGTCCAGCCAGAATAAAACTTTAGGGTCAAAATGACCGAGGTTTTGCACCTTTCTCAGAAAACTCACAGTATTTGAACTCTTTGACTGATGTGGTATATTTTTTCCTCTTTTCCCATCATGTGACAGATGCCAAAATTATATAAGATCTAGAACATGCAGGTTCTCCTAGAGCATATCCAAAATGCTTTAATTAAGCCTGCAGACCAATCAAAAGCCAGTGCACTCCAGCACTAGCATAATAGTTTCTTCACTTAGACATCACTAAGTAAGTGGCTAGGTGCAATCTCCTCTAGCTGAGATTAAGTTATCCTGAAGGATCCAGCAAAGATTGTCAAGTCTGATGCCTGTAAGTAAGCTGTGGAAGAATGTCCCATTTTTGACTCCATATTGATTGCTATTTTCATTCCATTTCTTTCCTCTTTTTAACCGAAAAAAAGAAGTCTGGATGGATGTCTTTTTTTCTTTTTTTTTTTTTTCTTTTTTTTTCCCCCCTTGGAATAACACTAAGACATTCTGAAATAAAAATATTCTTGCGGTTTCCCAAAACCAAATGCAGCTCAGTTTCCAGTAGGAATCAGAGACTCATGTTACCATGAGCTACATTTCAGCTGAAGAGCAATAAGGTGCCACTTTATTTCAACCCTCAGTATCTGTCCACCATCAATAGCAGACAAATCTTCTTTGCCAAAACAAATGTAAAATGTAGATCAGAGAGTGCTAGCACCATGCCAACAGTCTTTTTTTGATGGCTTCATATATATGCTGAATAGATGAATTCTTGGTAATTTGTCACCCTTTGGGATCTCCGAACTACCTAAAGGTGCTGACCTTTGCCATGCAATAAAAATGAAACTGGCAATAGGCAACACTGTAGATAATAATGCATTCTAATATATATATATATATATATATATTTATATATATATATATATATATAATCTACCCCTATACTGAATTCATGGCCCTTTTCTATGTCTGGAGATGACAGATAACACAAAAGCTGTCTTATTACAACTTTTGGCCTTCTGCCAAAATTAGAGCATCTATAAATAGACCAGTGATTACGATCTGCCTCTGAAGTCCCTGTTTTGAACGCTAGTCCAAAAGCAGCTGGCAGCAGCCAACAGTGGGTACCTAGGAAGCATGAGAACAGGACAAGCATGTAGGGATGCTCCCTCCAAGGACTTTTCCAGCCTGCAACTATTTGCAGCTCACCCACTTCTTGTTGAAGAATTTTTCTTGTATGAATTTGTCTTGTCATTCTTTTTGTTAGCTCTATATTAAGTAAGAAATATAGCCAGTATGGGTCGCTCTTCTAGTTTTAGTCTCTAATCAGGCTACCCTACTAGTCTGGTGGAAAGATGACTTTTTTTTTGGTAGTGAATCAGAGGTGGAAAGGACTTCATTTACATGGTTGGATGGCTAAATTCGTGGTGAAATAGCTGCTATAATTCTGCTGGGATTTCATATTATCATCAATGATTTGATAGGGCACTTGAAGCCTACAATGCTATCCCTTAAAAGGATTTAAAATCTAAACACATTAAAAAAACTCTCACTCTGCGTAGCTTCCATTCCTATTTTCTGACACTACAGCCCTAATTCTTTTGACACTCTGAAGTCTGCCACTGTTAGAAATTATTAATGCCACCATCATCAAAGAAAACTACAAGCCCAAACCAGGAACTTTTACAACTGTGGTGTGACAGCAGGGAGTATTCAGCTACTGTAGAAGCACT